TGTGCATTAGAAGGGTATGCAGGCACAAGCCAGGATCCAGAGAAAAGCGACAGAAAGGATTAAGGATGGATTCCAATGGCTATCAAAGATGAAAAGGAATTGAGGTGTGTCAGTTTCTGAGTCAGAGGTAAAATACATTGGGCATCTGCCAGCTTTGATTAGCTTTGCCCAGTTTCTCTGTTTAAGTGACCACATAGCTATTCAGAGGATTAAAATGCTTTGCTTGCTTGGGCCCATTTCATGGAGAAGATAGAGATAGGAGAGGGTTAAATAATTTGTCCAGGTTCCTTAACAAGGCATGAGTTGAACTAGCATCATAATTTTAAATCCCAGGGCTGTCTGTGGGCTGTTTAATCCACCAATGCACACCATTTCTCTTTATAATGGATGACCCCAAAAGACTACAACAATGAAAGATGGAAAAATTCTCTGCAAATTTCCATGGGAGAAAAAATAAAACAAACTAAAAAGGAATGTTATGCCTCACTGCTGAGGCCCATATAAACAACATCCTCTTGTGTCCCCCTAGACTGATGGCACAGGACACAGTCCATCTGATAAGCTATCAGCAGATGGATGGATCCCTCATTGTACCCATTACCCATCTGAGCAGGATCCCTTATCAGCACTCTAGACAGCAGATGGGGATGGGGAGGTATAGCTGGTCTGAAGTCAAGCTAGTTCTCCAATCCATCAGGTTTTCTGTAAAACAAATTCATCACAGAGCAAATGGAACACACTGGAGTATATTCAGCTAATTCCCAAAGTTGCCACAAAAAAAGCTCAGAACTGTTTTAAATATGTGCCATTCTACACTTCCAGCAAGGAGGAAGAAGTAAGCAAATCAAATGGTGAACCAAAAGCAGGTAAAGAAAACATGAAATCAAATAGCAAATGGCAACTCTAAAAAAGAATGGAGAGTACTCAGTATTACTGCTTAAAAAAAAACAAACAGTGCCTTGGGGCTATAGGGATGATAGCATCAATTATTTGCCAATGTCCAGCCTGGATCCAGCTTGCTTTATGTACACACAACAATGAGGACTAAATGGCATTTATTGTGCCTCACTAAGTTCCGTGCCCCATCAGGAGATGTTGACACAAACACATACAGAACCAACAGCAACTGGACAATTAGAGAAGACATTCCAAAGAGGATCTTTCTGTTAAGTTTCTAAAGCAAAGACAATATAACTTATGCAAGGAAACTAAAAGGCCACTAATTTAGGATAACTGGTCTTTACAGATACAATCAATCAAGGACATTTTAAACCTTTTGCTGAGAAATTGTAGGTTTGGGGGTTTAAATAGCTAAGAGAATCTCTTCCTGCTAAAGCCAGCTTGCCACTGTGGCAGCTCAGCTCCTAAGCCACCTCTGCCACTAATGTGGCTGGATGATTTTTAGTAAACAGCATAATCATTCAGTAAATTAATTTCCTGTCACCCACACCTGGCAAAATGATATGCACAAGGGGACTAGCTATGCTTGAAGAAATACTTATTAGTGTAATTGGTAAATGCCACTGATATTCAGCAAGGAGTTTAAAGATGGTGCTACTTTGCTGATTCTGAGAACCCTTAGACATCTCTGGCTTGAGTTTAGATGTGAGATGGTGCTGGTGCTGCTTCAATCATATTATATAAACCTCTATCAGTCCACAGTCCCAGGACCTTTGAGAAATCAGACAAGATCAAAAAGAAACTTGACACCAGGAGTATTAAGACCAGAACTCAAGCACAAAAACTGCCCTTCCTTATGCTTCTAAAGCTGGCAATGTGGCCAAGAGGAGGATCTGGGTAACGAGGTTTTGGAAATACATATTTTAGATTGCAAAATGGGAGATGAGACGACTAACCAACTTCTCTCTAACTCTTCTATTTCCTGGCCTAAAGCAATACCATCCTTGTTATAGACAAACTTGCACTCACTGAGGGACAAGGTCTTCCAATAAAGCCAAAATTTAGTCATCCTGTTGTGAGACACACATCAGAAATGTTTCTGCTAAGCTCTCCCTTTTATTTCAGCTAATGTCTCCTCTCCCTAATCATGACCTCTGAACTCCGTATAATTTACTGCCAAAATATAGCTTAATTCAGCAAATTCATTTGCCAAAGTATTTCTTTGAACTCATCCTTTCCCCTTTGGAATAAAGACAGTCACAGGAAACATTTTAACATATTTTTCTCCGGGTCCAAGTTACTTCATCAAAACCATAGATAAAACAAGTTATGGGAAAGGGCCTTAAAATAAGCAGTAAAGTGCTAGAGAAATGTAAGGTAATATTAACCATACTTACTATCACTAGTCATTGCTGCAACCAAGTCAGCAAACTATTTCCAACATTTGTTGTGAATTTTTTTTAAAATATATTTTATTGATTTTGTACAGAGAGGAAGGGAGAGAGATAGAGTGTTAGAAACATCGATGAGAGAGAGTCATCGATCAGCTGCCTCTTGCACACCCCCTACTGGGGATATGCCCGAAACCAAGGTACATGCCCTTGACCGGAATCGAACCTGGGATCTTTCAGTCCCTAAGCCAACGCTCTATCCATTGAGCCAAACTGGTTCCGGCTGTTGTGAATTTTTTTTAAGGATTTAAATAAAGTTTTTAAAATCCACACATCCATGCTTCCCAGGAAGAGCCATAGGTAGGGTATAGAACATTGGAGTCATCAAAGACTAGGTCCCCTGGTAGGCCAGAAGTTACTATTTAAATGACACAAAGTAGTGACTTAGAAGTAAAGGACAGAGGAGTCTACTCCAGGGTGCACTCAAGTCTTCCTCAGCATGACTCTGTTCAGAACTTGAGCTAAGAAAATAGAAAATGCACAGGTGACAGGAATCAGTCCATACTCCCCCAAACATCCATCTCTCTGCAGCAACCAGCTCTAAGTGTTATCATCATTTATACATATCCCCAAGGGTGACCTGGTCAGGTTGACTTTACTGAGGAGACAGAGGTAGCAGCAAAAGATGAACAAGTCCATCTGATTTAGTTTCCTTTTTCCAATCACGGATGGCAAAAGCATTTCTAGAATAGTGATCTGTTGCATCCTGGGCCACTGCTTAATGGAGAAAAGGACCACAGAACATAGGTTGTCAACAGCTAGGAGTAAAAAATGTCTCATTTTGCAGATGGACAAACTGAGGTCCAGGAAGAGTACTCTCCCCAGTCACACAACTAATTAATGCCAGAACTAATCTCCAGAGTCTTCTAAAAGCCTCTAAAAACCCTTCCACTAAAAACCATGATACTGCCAGATTTGACATCATCACACCAACAGCAGCCCCAGTGGGGCTGAATTTAGTCCTTTGTTGACCTTCTAGATATGTGGCTGCCAGAGACCTCAAGACCCTTTTGTGGAAGAGTTGCCCTCTGACCCTCACCACCTGCCGTCCAAAAAAAGCACTCCTGTCCCAAGAGCCTCGTGCAGCAGTGGCTGAGATGCATTGTTTCCTCTCATTAACAAACAGGCCATTCATGAAAAAAAAAGAAAAAGGACTGGCTCAAATTTACACAAAAGGTCTAGCTGGGAGAGCCCTGGGCTTCCTGTGAATAGCACCACTTCCCAAAAAGCCTTTTCTTATAATAAAAAAAAAAAAAAATGTTGCCCCCTCCAGCTTTGCTCAGTAATGAGAGCCACCCAATCAATAACAGCCTCTTTATTACAAAGCTATCTGCATCTCTTTTCCACACCTGCAAAATGGAAAGGGTTTGAGGCCATTTACCACATTTTACAGATAGGAAAACTGAGGCCAAGAACCTGCAATCAAGGAGTTCTAGAACAAAGAAGTAACAAGCTTGTGAGCCTCAAGTAGGCATTGTCATGCTGATCAGCCTCAGCCTCCCCGCAGAGACTGCCCTATTTCACTGCCAGCTTGCCATCCCAAAGACCAACTGGAAGATAATTCATCTTTTGGCTGCAGGCAAGTGACCATCCAATCCCTAGGCACCCAACAAGCCAGTAAAATGGACATAATAATCTTAGCCTCCTGCCCCACATAGGGCTGTCACAAATCTCCTGAGAATAACCTACAAATACAAATGCAATAAAGATTCTAATGACAGGTTTCAAAACTATCTCTGAATAAAACACACCAAGTTTTCCACATCCAGAAATTTACAAAAGATTTGTTTCCCTTTCAACTCTTCCTTATCCTCCATGATTTTATAGTTTTTTTAACATCTCTTCACACAGACTGAGTACAGACAGACAGCCTCACTCTTGGTCTCCAATCAGATTATTTTTATGTATCTGACACTTTCCTTTTTAATACGGTTTGTTTTTCTTAATATGGCTAATGGGAGGTAAAGAAATCAGCTCTCTGAGTGCCACAGCAGACAGGATAAGAATAAGATAAAGAGGTTTGCAAAAAATTAAATACCTTTTCACCAGGATAGAAACCACCAACCCAATGTTCAGCCTGGGGCCTGTTTCAGAGAGCACTTAGTAGGAGCTTGGTACTGCTCCAAACCCTCAAAATTCAAAAGCAGACATCACCCTAAGAGTACAAACTCCCAAATGAAAGAATAATTAAAGGAAATCCATAATAAAAGTATTCCCCCAAGTACCTTAATAGAGAAAAGGAACCTTATATGACCACCTCCAGTAAAGAATGTCACCAGGCCTCTGAGGATTAACTGTGACAGAGAGCGTGGGGGCTGGGCCAGGTCTCCAGATGTGATTCAGAAAGGGCACCTGGCTGGGGCTGGACTTCCTGCTTGTGAAAGGCCCGGCAGGGCTGGGAGGGACAGGCAGCCAGTCTGAGTGCCAGTCAGCTGTGGTGCTATGTTCTTTCCCCACACTGTGAGGCTGATGCATTGTGCAAAGGTGAAAGAAAGCCAATCTGAAATATGCAGAAAAACAGATTTTTGGAAAATCGTTTTTAAAGGTCCCACTTCCCGAAGGGATGAGGTGCTGTACACTGCCAAGTGTCCTGAGCACACTAATGACTCTTATCACTAAGGCTGCCCAGGAAAAAGTCAACAAACTCACATGCATCATGGTGACCAGGTGACAGGGGTTGAGCAGGTAGATGACAGTCTTGGTGGCGAACTTAAAGCCCACCTCCACCCCGAAGGTCAGGCACAGGGCTACTAAGAGCAGATTCTTGCTCAGGCTCTCCTTGCCTTCCTCTGGCCGCTGGGTCACCTGCTCTGGCTGGCAGCCATGGGCACCCCTACCGTCCTCCTTCGTCTGCCTCAGGATGTGCCGCAGGGCCACCAGGATCTCCAACAGGGCCAGGGTCAGGACCACCACACTTTCCAGCAGCCGCTGCTGCCAAGAGAGGAAGGCAGCACAGTCGGGGCCCCCATTGCCTGCAAAGCTGGGGTCCACGCCCCCATAGAGCCAGTCCAGAAGAGTTTGGTAGCTATACCGGGACATGATGCAAAGTGGCTCCCCTGGACCACCGTGCAGGAAGCAAGAGTGAGATGGAACACAAGCCCAGAGAGTCGCCCGGGTGGTGGGACATGTACGGAGGGCACACACCCACGCCCGCACTCCCTCCAGACCGGGGGGCACCGAGGGCAGGGGAGGGGGAAGCTACACGCGAGGCCCGGGGCAAAGTGCTGGCTCTAACTCGTCCCCACGGCTGTCTGGGGAGCCCCCCGCGCTTCTCCAGTGGCCACCAACGAGGCAGGGTTGAAACGAGCCGTTGGCCAATCTAAAAGGAAGGAGAGGAAAAAAAAAAAAAAAAGGTCTCAAAGAGGCAATTGCATCAGGAATTACCAAGCGGGGAAGGGTAACTAGCGAGGGAAGAAAAGGGGAACCCGGGCAGTGGCGAAGCAAGCAGGGGTCAGGGGAAGTCAGAGGCAGAGAGGTTCGGGGCCGAGGGGACCCGGCAGCGCCTCAGGAGCGAGCCGGGGGTGACAGGGGTGAGAGCGCGGAACACGCGGGAGCCGGGAGGGGAGCTAGCGGAGCCGGGCGGGCAGGGAGGGCGACAGGGATGGCAGGGACGCCGGACTCCTCCTTCCACACACTCGCCACCGGGGATCGCTTACTCCGGCAACAGCGTGGCCTTCTCTGCCCCCAGCTGGCAACTTCGCCGCGGTCGGGTCCCTCTGGCCAATTTAGAGCCGTCCGGGTCCGACCGCCCGCCCCCCGGGTACACCCCGGAGCCCCCAACTCCACCCCCGGCTCCCGCCCTCGGGCAGCACCTCCCCCAGCCCGCGGCCCGCCCGGGACCGGCCCCCTTCGCGCGGGCGGCGGCGGGAGGAAGCCGGCAGGGAAAGAGGGAGGGAGGGACGGGGTGGTAGGGAGGCCGGGCCGGCCAGGGGCTGGGCTACAGCCGGCCCCCTCCCTCCAACCAGGCGCCGCATCTTCCCGCGCCTCCCACCGGCCCCGGCCCCAGCCGCCGCGCCCCTCGGGGCTCCACTCACCGGCAGCTCGGCCCGCGGCCCCGGCTCGGCCCCTCCGGGCTCCCGAGCTCCCCGCGCCCCGGCGCGCTCGGCTTCCCGGGCGGCCGCAGCCGCCGCGCAGGGCTCCTCCTCCCGTCTTCCTCCCCCTGCGGCCGCCGCGCTCGCTTCCTCCTTCTTCCCCTCTCTCCTCCCCCTCGCCACTGCCTCCTCTGGCGCTGCTCAGCCTCGCGCCCCCCCAGGCCTCCACGCTCGCTGGCCACGACTACCCGCCTAGCCTCCTTCCCTCCTCGGGCCCCCTCGCACCCGCCTCCGCCACCCCCAATCACACCTCCCACCTTGCTTCTTGGCTCCCCCTCCCTCTCCTTCCTCCGGGCTCAATCTCCGCCTCCTTCCCCTCCTTCCTGGGCCTGCCTCGAATTCTGCACTCTTGGAGCCTGCATGCGGGCACGTCCACCTTCTGTCCCCGAAGGGTGCCGAAGGCGCCTCATTCTGTGAAGCCTTTTGACTGACTCCACATCCCGCGACTAGCGTCTCACCAGGCATGTCTTTTTGCTCCTGGTACTTAGGCACTTAGCCATCCCTCCTTAAGTTCTGCAGGGGCTGAAGTCTAGTGCTGAGTAGCTGGGCCAGCTTTCCTTTGGGGTGTTGGCCCGGTCTGGCCTTCTCCTAGAGTCTCCTCCTTTTTGCACTGGAATAGTAGACTCCTTTTTTTCCTTAGGATAGTGCAGGACCAGGATGGCAGCTTCTCTCATTGCTAGCTACAGCCCCACTCCTCACACTTCAGTTCCTAGGACACCAGCTTCTAGTCCTTTTCCCTGCTCTACCACCTCCTGCTTGGATTTGGTCTTTCTCTCTTTACCTTGGGCTGCACAGCCTACCTGTGCCACTCCCTCTCCAGGCGCTGCCTTTCCCCCTATCTCCTATGATGTCTTCCATTGGAAACTTGCCAGACCAAAAGAAAATTCCCCTGACCTCCTTCACTCCTTCCTCCTTGCAAGGTAGCAGCTGCTTCCCAAACTGTAATACACTTGGCACTTGGTGAAGAGTCCTGACACTGAAAGGCCAGCCAGGACAATGTGGGTGTGGGAAGGGCCCAAGAATTGGTAAGGACATCTGATTGAAACAGGGCCCTGTCTCACCTGCTGCTTTCTACCCATAGACTATGGCTTGCTTTTCTAGGGATAAGGAAACAGGAAAAGGACCTTCTTAAAATCTACCTTATGTTGCTTTAATATTTATTGAAGACTTACAGTGAGTTAGGAGAATATCCAGAAAAACACAGGTAGGTACCTTGCCTAGGAAACACTTTGGGGTGCTGGCTGCAAGCCAGACTCAAAATATAAAATAAAATCTGCTGTATTATCAGGCTATTATCCTCCCATACTAAGTCTGATTATAGCCTCAGAGCCAGGTAGCCTTGTCTAATTCCAAGCTTTTGTACAGAATCTACCATAGGCTGGCTGCTCTTCAAGTGCTAATTAATAAAGAAAAAGCACGCCCTGGCCAGGTTGGCTCAGTGTACAGAGTAGCAGAGTAGGCCTGCACACAGGTCGGTGGTTTGATTCCAGGTCCGGGACATATGTGCAGGAGGCAACCAATCTGTCTCTCTCTCTCTCTCTCTCTCTCTCTCTCTCTCTCTCTCTCTCTCTCTCCTCCCTCCCTTCCACTCTATTTAAAAGCAATGGGAGGATTTAAAAATTTTTAAAAGAACATAAAGTAAATAAAGAACAACCACAAACATTGATTCAGAGGCTCACTTATTCATTCTCCTTAGGTGTTTTTGTTAAATTCTCTGCAACATAACCAGAAACATTCAGGATAAAGCTGTAGAGCTCCTGGCAATGACATGCAGCATCTGGAGACCAAGCTCTTATGTTGAAGGAAATAAGAATGAGGTGTGAAAAATAATATAAATGGAGCCACTTTATTTTTTAATTTTTATTGATTGATTTGAGAGAGGATCATCAATTTGTTTTTCTACTTATTTATGCACTCATTGATTGATTCATATATGTTCCCTGATTGAAGTTTGTGGACGAAAGAAGCCACATGCTAACCTGACAAGCTCAGGGAAGGCCTGCGTGGCAGTCTTGCAAACTCAGAGACCTAAAATAACCACAAAAGATGGTCTGGAATTAAATATTTAACTACAAACAGGTTATAGTGGGCAGTCATTCCTAGGCTGATATTTTCCCTGACAAAGATCAACTTAGATCTTTCCTGAGCCCATTTGCTTTTTTGCCTTTAAGATAACTATCTGTTAGATGTCTGGGTAACTTGTAACTTCCCTTTTTTTTTCTGGAGCCCCTGGGGCACAACCAAATATGGTGGGCGCCAGCACAGATGCATCAAATTCCTTCATTATCATGCTAATTGTTCCTGCACTCACCTCAGTATGTATCCATCATTTTACTTTTTATCCAATCCCAGGGGTTTCCCACAGTTTTGCTTTATCCCACCTCCTTAATCCATTACCAATGAATTTCCTGTAACCCACCTATGTCCCTCCTTTGATTGCAATGTATTAATAGAACTGTAACCCGCCATTCTTCAGAGCATTATCTCAATTCATTGAGGGTTCTGCTTCCTGGCATACGTCGACAGTCTGGCTCAAATAAACTCACTAAAATTCTTTACAGGTTTCAATGGTGGGGTTTTTGTTTTGTTTTTTTTTTTTGTTTTGTTAATAAGTTCAAACCTACAACCTTGGTGTATGAGACAAAGCTCTATAACCAACTGAACTACTTGCCCAGGGCTAAATGGAGCCACTTTAAAATGGGGTTGGAGCTTCTGTCCCAGAGAAGCTGCCTTTCATATCTTAACCTTCAAACTTTTGGAATGATAAAACTGGGCAAAATAACCTTTGACTGGACCTAAAGCAGCACTAAATTCCAAACAACTGTTTGCAAAGATAACAAGAAAGCAGACATTTATGGCCATGGAATTGAAAATGAAAGACTTTCTTTAGAATTAGTATCACTATTTTAGCTTATCTTCACTTATAGAAATGCCTTCCTTCTATTCATATCATTGTTCCCCTTCCCTTTCTCATAAATGGCCCCTTCACCTCCTATTCCAAATGCTGTTTGAGTTACTGCCAGAATCAGTGCTTTCCAACAAGCTATTCTTTTGGATCTCAAATAAATGCTTGTTTCTCTCACTTTGGCCTTTTATTTTAGGTTAACAGGCTAGACCAACTCAATAAATGGCTTCATTAATCCCTCCAATTTCCATGCTGAACTTAAGTTGGGAATTTGGCCTAGAGAATCTTTGTGTTTGCAAAATGACTGTCTTTAAACTACTGTAGCCAGGCCAACTTTCTCACCTGAGCCACAAATTATTCTTTTTTTCATAGGTAGAATCACCAAGTGTTTTTATAATTAAATTTATGTCTTTTACTTGCTGCAATTTATTCAACCTCTCTCTACCTCAATTTCTATGTATTAAATGAAGGGTTGTTAATGATCTATTGTTCAATTCCTATGATTATGCACATTTAAGTAAGTTGAATTATATAGAATAGTATGTCGTATCTGGTGCATAGAAAGTGCTCAGTAAGTGCTTCTCATTATTTTACCCAGTTCTGCATCTGCTCATACATGCATACACACTCAAATTCAGTGCCCTCCCCCACATCTATATAAACAGTCCTACCCATCCTTCTAAACCCAAGTGAAACTGCAGTCTCCTAAACCCCACCCCCAGTTCCCAGAGCTCTCTGCTTCCTCTGAACTTCTATAGCAGTTATTGCCTGCACTACTCATTTTATTCTGAATCACATACTGCCTTCCATTGTTCTCTCATTGTTAGTCCTGTCTCCCACACTCAGATCTTCCACAGCAGGGAATGGTTCTTAATCTTTTCTAAACCCCCCACAGCACCTAGCAGAGTGGTAAAGATAGTAGGTAGTAGACAAACACTAGGACATTGTTGTCCCCATAGAGTTCAGTTCAAGCAATAATTGAACTGAAATAGTGTGTCAAATTTTAGAATCTCAAAAAGCTTCACACAAATGTCTTGATCATTTTCTGCTGGCACACAGGCCAGAGGCTTCATGTCTCCAAACAGTAACAAGAGAAAATGAGCTTTGCTTTTTAAGAGGAGCCTTGCAGAGCACATGAAAAGGAAACCTGGAATCCAGGCTCCATTCAGAGAGACCTTGGGGAGAGTCATCTCTCTCTGTTTCAGTGTATTCAGATAAAATGAAGGGGTTGGACTAGAATGGTTTCTAAGATACCTGCTGGCTATAACATTTTATGATTCTAGGAACTCAGCCTTCGGCTTTTCATCCAAGTCATGTTTGAGTCTTAAAGCAGAAAGTTGATCTACCTGGATTGGTGATCTGAGCCACCTTTCTGCCTATTAAGACAAGATTCTAAATTCCTTTGTCCAAAGTACCTTCCCAGTTATGAGCTCGGCTGACCTCCTGTGAAGTCCAAAGTGTCAAAATTATTACCACAGAAAAAATGAAGCTCAGATTGGTAAAGTGATTTGTCTAAGATCACACAAGTTAGTGGCAGAGAACTAGAATTTGAGGTTCAACAGCATGGGCTTGCTCTTTGACTTGGCAATCTGACCTTTTCTACTCCTGCATTTGACCTTTGAGACTACTCCTGCTCCTCTACCCCATTATAACCTGAAAGTCAAATTCATACATGATCAACCACAAGCAAAACTCAATGCACAATCCTGATATTATATAAAGTGTTTTTCAGTAAAAATAAACTGCATGTGTATGGAGGAGAATGAAGAGAGAAGCTTTTGTCTTGATCTATATGCTTAGTGCTTTTTTACCCACAATCATCAACATCAGCATACATTCTTAACCATAACTTAACATTTCAATTAAGCAATAAAGTTTGTGTATTCCGCATTCTCTCAAGGCTATAGCCAACTCCCTGTTTTCTTTTCTTTTTTTTTTTTTTTTTTTGCCTTTGAAATTCTTTATTTCTGATCATTCCTTTACAATAAACCACCGCAGGATTCACTCCCTCACAAGAAGTTCAAGCCCCAATTCTGACCCCTCTCCACGCAAATCAGATTCGTGTTTCTGATTGTAGGACCTTACCCCCTGAGGTCCCATGAATTCCCCAACATTTTCCCTGGTCATTGTGGACCGGTGCTGGGTCCCTTCCTTTCCCCATTCACAGTGAGCATGAACCCAAAATGTGGGTGTCCCTTGTATAATGCACCCCAGTTCTATATTAGAGCTTCAAAAGGCACAGAACAAAGCTTTTACTGAGTGTTCTCACTGAAGAGGGTGATTATAGGACACAGCTCGGCTACAAGTCATCAAAACTCCACTTTATAATATTTACTCTCACTACCTTGATGACCGTCTTTGATGCAAAGAGAGATGATCCTGGGCTTTCCTAACTCGCTCAGAATCCCAGTCAGCTCAGTCCGGACCAGGGTGAGTCTGTCCTGGTTGACAGTGCCCTGGGTCGTGTAACACTCCCAGGGGACCGGGTAATCCTCATATTCTAAGTTGTGCAGCCCGGCTGTCTGGCGCAGTAGCTTCTCCAGGGTGGCCAAAGACAAGTCGTTCTCAGAGATGGTGAAGAAATTGAGCTGGTGACAGCGGCTCAGGACAGGCAGGATGGCCTCAACTTGGGAGTCCACCATGGCACACTTATCGAGGCCCAGGAACTGGAGGGTGGGTGCCACTGCCTCCAGCAGAGCTCGGAGGGGCTCTGGCTTAAAATGTTTAGGCTGACATCCAACAGTTGCAGATACTTCAGCTGCCTTATTTTAGGGCACTGGAACAGGTGTATCAGGTCTGAATGCATCAAACACCCGTCATTTGCTATGGAGAGTTTGTCCAAGGGGGTCTGCAGGCACCTGAGCATCTGGTCCAGACGGCCTCAGAGGAAGCAGGGGGAATACATGTGGAGCTCTCGGAGGTGCTGCAGCCTAAGCATCTGAGACAGGAATTGGGAAAAGGATTGCTGTTCCTCCCTCTCCCACTCTTCTTCCCCCTGTTCCTCTTCCTCCTCCTCTTCTTCATCATCCTCCTCTCCTGTGGGGGAGACAGAGAGTCTGTAGGCTCCTCATCTGCCCCAGGTAAAGAGCACACTTCCCCAGGCTGGGCAGGTCCCAGGTGCAGTTCAGTTCCACCTCCTGGATACAGTCCAGCTGCATCACTTCCAGGAACTTCTTCAGCCACTGGAAGGGCACATCAACAATGATCAGCTTTGGTGTAGCAGCCCTTCCCTCTGCTTGGCCCATTGGATGACGTACATGAAAAACTCATCAGTGTCCCATTCATTGCAGTTAAGGTCTAGGAACACCTCTACGGGAGCTAAGGGGTGCTCCATGTTGGGGCTGGACCTGTGCACATCCATTGGACAAGTCGGGGAGGGCTTTTTGGTGCTGTCTCTATAGCACATTCTCCAGAAGTCTGAACCCAGTTTCCTTAAATCCAGCACCCACAGTTTGCACCTCCTGGAGCGAACTTCCTGGGCAAGCAGAAGGTCAAGCCCATCCAACACGGCTTTGAAGACCTCGTCCAGTGACAGGTCTGGCAGACAGCCCAGAGGGAGGACAGTGAAGGGCCAGGCTTGCATGATCGCCTTCAGGACCTGGTGGCATCTACTACTGTAGGCCTGAATGAACAGCTCTGGGAAGAGCTCGGCGGGCAGGTGCTCCAGAGATGCGATGGCAGAGGCCTGGTCCCTCAGCAGGCTCTCTGCTGCCAGCTGCAAAAGTGTGGGTGGGGTCCTGATGCTCATCCTCAAGGTGCTCCAAAGGAATCCTGCTGTGACCGGGTCCGCAGGGGCTCAGATCTCAGACCTGGTGGAGGACCAGTGCACTGATTGCAGAGCTGGAAGTCTGTCCAACTCCCTGTTTTCTTGAGTATGTAAATAAAGTCAGGTGTTTTCACTTCTTATCTAGCTTTTTTTTTTTTTTTACAATTTAGAGCCACCTATTTCAGGAGAGAAGCTCTAAATACCCACAAGTTTCACTTCTCAGGAAAAGCAGCATGTTCGAATTCCCCTTCAGCTCCCCCTATCTTTACACCCAGGAGATAGGATGTCTACAGGCCCTTCCCCTGATCTCTTTGTTTTGCCTTCCCTCTACATCCTTATAAAAACATCTGTCTGCACTGAGATATTAAGATGGGTTCTTGAGGACAGGAGTCCCCCATCTTCTCAAGATGCTGACACTCAAATAAACCTCTTTCCTTTTCACCAACACCTGTCTCACAAACTTGGCTTTCATTGTGACAGGCAGCAAGGGTTTAGGAACCTGGAGAAGGGGCCGCACATAAATGGATACACTAGACAAGAAATATAAATTTGGGATGTGGATCACTTTCCTCTAGTGGAGAAGCTCTGACTTTTCCAGCCCCTTTGCTTTTATTTACTAGAACATACATTTTTCCTTTAGCAGAGCAAACACACATATCAAAGGTAAGGTTTGGTAAACAGTAAAAGATTATCAGGTTAGGGGAATTGCCTTTAGCCACCATTGACTCATTTGCTAAAATCCCAAGGTCCATCAGCCTTCTGAAGAACTTCTTGCATAATTATGACCTGCTGGTCTTAGCCTCCAGCAGGCAGCCAAACCTAGTTCAGTTATTAAGCCTCTATTGTGTGCATAAGAATATGCTAGGCTTGGGCAATCTCTGCCTTCAAGAAGCTTAAAATCCAACTAGGTAATCAGGGCTCACAAACAAGAAAGTTTGCTCAACAATACTTCAGGGAGATACAATCACAAGCCAAGCAAGTAAGAGCTACTGTCCTAAGAGCAAATTTTGCATGTATCAAGTGAGCTGCACAGGTGAGCAGAGCCATACAATTCAGAGGTAATTCAACACCAGTCAATATTCATCTATGGGGAGAAAGGTCAGCATGGTAGTGAAGGGGGTTGAATTTGTCACCCCAGAATATGCCTCATTGCCAAAGGATTATTGTAGGCTGATTATTTTTAAGAAATGCCAGACACAGTAGAAGCTCTAAAAACTGAGTAGAAGTTGCCCTTTTTTTAAGACACATTTATTTTTATCAGGGAAATCTCCATTTGTAAGTATACCTCCCTCTCTGAACCAGGAAGAGAAGGATGACTAAATCTCTAGAAACTTTTAGCAATTGGGAAAAGCAAGGACTAAATATGCATTACTGCCTCTTTTAACTGACCTCACTCTTCCCACAATATCTTCTTTTGCCTTTACCTAAAGATGGTATTTAAGATGGTGACTTGGGCCATTTTGGGGAGTTAGTTTTCCGGGGTCTCTCCCATGTATACAGGAAGTGTACATATCATTAAACTTCCGTTTGTTTTTTTTCTGTCTGTCTGTTTTATTACAGGGGTGGTGTTTCAGCCAAGAACCTAGAAAGGTAGAGGGAAAATTATTTTTCCGCTCCCACAACAGTTACTCCTTGAGGGTTACTGACAAGGAAGGTGAAGAAAGAAGCCTTCTGGATTGTTCACAGTGCACTGTACCTTGATCTGGGTGGTGTTACATGGGGGCACATGTACAGAAACATTCACAGAGCTGCACACTCTAGAGTTTTGCACTTTACAATATATCAGTATACCTCAATTCATTAAAAAGTTCAGAAATGAGATGAAAGATCTACAGCTGGAAATGCCAGTGTTCACAGAAAAATTTCAGGGCAGAAAGCTTTTCTGAAAGAAATAATTTATTGAACCAAAATCTAGCCAGAAAAGGAACAGGGCCTGAGGCATGAAGTCTAAATCACCAACAGCAGGACTAGGTGGGAAAGGCAAGCATGTTCACCATTATAGATTTTTTTGGCACTTTTTTTTTCCTCTTATTTTATTTTATTTTTTTAATTGCTTATGGTCTCACATAATTGTCCTTATTCCCCCATTCCCATCCCAAACCCCTCTCTAGATATGCCCCCCCCCAACCCCTGTTGTCCATGGCCACTGGCTAGGCCCATATGTATGCACACAAGTCCTTTGGTTGATCTCTTCTCCTTACCCCCATCCTCCCTTACTATCCCCCTGAGGTTTGAGAGTCTGATCGCTGGCTCTCTTTCTCTGGGTCTGTTTGTGTTGTTCATTATTTCCTCTAGATGTGTGAGATCATGTGATCCAAGAAATACCCTTGTAAGAACCTAAACTGCAACAAGCCATAATGGTATGCTGAGAGGCAAATGAATCAGTCTGTAGTGAGTTCCTTTCTGGGCCAACAGTTCTTTTGCATCCCAATTTCAATGGCAGATAGTTCCTTATGTGTACATGCCAGCCATGATATTTCAGATCTAGTTGGTGGACAAATGGTGGTAATGCTGGTCCGCCTGTCTCTGGTTTGGTCCTGGGCATCCTTCAGCAACCCACAGCTGCTATCTACGGGTATACTGAGGCATCATCAGCATCTTCCATCTCTGAATTGTATCTCTTCTGTCTTCATGGCTGGAGTGCTTCTGTCTATTCCTTTCTGTTACAGGATTCCAGATAGACTCGAAGTTGTTTTCTGAAAATATACAAACATATTCTTGACCAAAAGTTAATAAAGGGTTATTTTCTTTAAATTTGATTTGGGATTCTTTTCCATCCCTCCTCCCCCAAATGATTTTCCCCTGGCTTGTTTTGTCGCCATGTGTGTATTTTCATGAGTATCTTGCTATTAGTGTTTCGAAGGAAGGTTAATTTCCTAAAGCACAAATTTTTTAGACGTAAATTATTCTCAGGATATTTTTCCTTACATGATATTCTTCCACTGCCACCCCTTTTTTATTTTAAAGAATAGGAAACTTTTGACAATTTTATACTGTAGTCTTGATAGCTTTTACATTTTAACTTATTTGCGCTACACTATGACTACTTTAGGTTCATAACATGTTGTGCAATTTTAGTGTGGGACGCTCTGCCAATAAGAATTTTTGTTAACCCGTTAGGAACAGCTTTTTGAACAGTGAATCATTTTTTTTAGAATATTCATTTATTTCCACTAGCCACATTACTTTCCTCTGAGAAATTGGCTACCATTCATCTCATACTCAACACTCTAGCATCTATCTCATTTTACCATGTGTGTATTAGTGGAGGTGATTATTTCCCTTCTTGAGAAGGGTCTGAGCATTCCTGCTGCTAGGCTGGAGGCACTTTTATATATTATGTTTTGAAAGAATTTACTTTGGCTACAAATAAGTGGGACATGAAAAGGTAAAGTGGGATGGCAGTTTTAGGATATTTTGAAAGTGCTCAGTAAATGCTATCCATTATCTAAGTATGCACAGTCCATAAGGAAGAAATATCTACGACTTTTGATTGGTGGTGGGCAATAGTACATGCATAAGCAGGATGCTGTGGCTTCTCAGGGTCACTACAAAAGGTGATTCAAAGCTGCAACATTCATTCAAGAATGTGAGCAGTCTTTTGTGAGTTGGCCCATAGCTATTAAATGATTAATTACTCTTGTATCTTTCTCTCACTCTGTGACCTACTATACTTTAATTTCAGACATCTCAGAATTTTTCTCTTATTGTCAGAAACATCCTCATGGAAGAAGAGGTGGTATTTGCTGGAAGATGTGAATGAAACTAGCCCAGTGGTTTTCAGCTCTAGCTACAATTTAGATTCAACTGGGTAACTTTTTAAAAATAATGATTCTTAGGGCTCACACTACACCAACACAATCAGAAGTTCTGGAAGTAGGACCTTAGTATTAATTTAATTTGTTTTATTTTTAAATTACAATTTACATACAATATTATATTAGTTTAGGTATTCATCTCATGATTACATAACTTAAGAGTGATCACCCTAATAAACCTAGTATATCCCTTTGACACCATTCACAGTTATACAATACTAGGAACCCAGTGCACAAAATTGGTACACTGCTGGGGGGGGAGGGGATGTCCCTCAGCCTCACTTACTCCCTCTCACATTATGGGAGCTCTCAGGGGAGGTCCTAAGCAGAAGTTTGTCCTCCCTTTGTGAGAGGTGGCCAGGTTGATCAGGGGAAGGCACCAGCCCCATCACCCTGCTGCTGCAGCCACTGCCAGTCACCACAGCCACCAAGGTGTTCTCATCAACACAGATTCCAGTCCCTTCATCATGAAAAAATGACAACTTTCTTTAGGCATTTTCAAGATGTGTCTTTCATAGGATATAAAATTTCTTTCTTTCTTTTTTTAATCCACACCCGAGGACATGTTTCCATTGACTTTTAGAGAATGTGGAAGAGAAAGGGGAAGACAGAGAGAAACATCAAAGTGAAAGGAGCACTTTGATTGGTTGCCTCCTGCATGAGCCCTGACCTGGGCCCCAGCCAGGGAGGAGCCTGCAACCTAGGTACATGTCCTTGATCAGAATCAAACCTGGACCCTGTGATCGGCAGGCCGAGGCATTATCTACTGAGCCAAACCAGCTAGGGCAAGATATGACATTTCTTAGCCCTCCAGCAGCAGACCTTCATTTTTTTTTTTCTCCAGGAGTGTGATGGAAAAAGCCTAGATCAACTTTTTGGATTCTTATTACCTAAGTTACTAAGAATATTACCAGTGGCATACAGGGAGCTTAGCCAATGAGTGGTCAGAAAAGGTGTTTCCTCTGTAGTTCACATCAATCACCGATCACCAGCTCTGCTCCAGCCAAGGCCTAAAGCCTCTGGCCGAGGCTTGGGGCCTGGCAGGGGCCCCCTAGCTCCCTCCAATAACTGGCTCCATCTCTGCCAAAGCCTAAGGCCTTGGGACCTGGGCAGGGACCCCCTGTCTTCCTCTCATCCCAGCTTTGCCCCTGCCCAGGAGCCACC